TGGGATGCGGTAGGGGGCGGGGAGATTTTGTAGCTTGTGAAGTCCACATTGATACCATTGGGCTGCAGGGTTCCCAAGCGAAATATGAGGTGCTGTTCCTGCAACCTTTGGGTGGCATTGTTTTGATCACCCTATTTGATCATGCAAAGTGTAGCAGAAATCTGAAACGTTAATAGCCTGTGTGTACTGGGCATGGAAGTTTCAAGTCTGAGAGAGTTGGATTTAGGTGACGTAAGGGAATCTGGAGAGAAAGGCAGGTTAATGGAATGGTGGTAATAATCAGCCATGATACAATTGAATGGTTTAAGGGGCTTGATGGGCTGAATGGTTCATTCCTGTTGCTATGCAGCAGGAACGGTACGTGCAGAGCATCAGTCTGAAGCCAGAGCTAGATGACCATATCTTGTTGACAATCACACCTTGCAAATGATTTCTTCCCTCACCAAACTATTCACTTCACTCCCAGATTATCATTCGAAGCAGTCCATCTCCTCACCAGTACAAAATGTCCATCAGTTGACCCATCAGTTATATAAGTGCCACCTCACTTTGTCACATCAATCACACGAGCTCTCCATAAACAACACCATCAGAGGAAAAGATGCCACCATTTAATCAAATGAGCAAATGGTGAAAGAAAGGAACAAGTTGGTAATGAGCCTGGAATTTACAAGATTTTTGTGATTTCTAGAAACTGAGGTCTGAGAGGGTCCAACTGCAAACTGCAGCACTTCAACAGCTGCCAGGGGCTGGTATCATGGTGGGTAATTAGATGAGCAGATGGCAGGGGAGCAGGTTTGTTCTCAGCCATGTTTGAGAGAAACTTTACCACTCGTTTTGTGTCATTGTCATTTCATGAGACTGCAACTGGAAGATCAGACTTAGCATATCTCTGATGCCATTGAAAGATTGGGGAGCATATTAGCTTTAGAGACAGGTCCCAACTCCTCAAGCCCTCTGGCTATAGCCTCTTGGACAGAGAATAGAAGAGAAAGAAAAACCTTTGTTGTCATGTGTACTCAAATGAGTGCAATGGAAAGTTTGTAATGTCGCCTTTTAGCACCATCTTAGGTACAGAGGACCTGGGTACAGATACTTTTAAGATTACTTGAAGAGTAAAAATAAGTATAGATTAGCATGGGAACAGTCGAAAAACTCCAGAGTGATAATAAGTGACACTTAAGTTCCAGTCCATGCCTACTAGGTTATGGTGCCTCCATCCAGGACTCGCTCCACCACCACTCTGGAAATCAGCACGATCGCTCTGCCATGGGACTCGGCCCGTTCTCTCCACTCTGCCACGGGACTCTGCCTGTTCACTCTGCTCCATCATGGGCCCAGCCAGAGGGTTGATCACATGCTCCATGTTAGACTGCAGAGCGATGAGTCTTGCAACGGAATGACTCTCATATATGTCGAAACAAAGTGTGGTTAGTCTTGGGCATTTCAATGCTCCAAGCAATTATTTGCGATCTTTCTTTTAAAGCTGGTCTCTTGGTGTCTGCATCCCTGTCTTCCTCATCAGATCTAGCACTTGAGATTTCCCAACGGCCAGAGATCAGCTGCTGTGTCTTTCCTGCAACCGTCAGTTCCTGTTGACCAATGCTGACTATAATTCAGCCTGTGAGGATCTCGCTAATTCACTCTGCATTCCATCCATGATATTGATTCCTGTACTAGTTACTAAGGGAAGATGAAGTGAGAGGAGGTATTTCTTCACCATGTTGCTTGTCCACTCCCTTTTGTAGGACAACTTCAAGTTGTGGTACGGTCCTAGTAAAAAGAAAAGATAAAGGAAGCGAGGATCAAAAAGCAAGGGGAAGATTATCCAGTAGCTGCATGAGTTGCAGTGCATACAGTACCAGTTCACCAATTCACTGTACTTGTAATTGCTTTAAGGGAAATAGCAAGAGAAAGAAATAGACATCTTGCTGATCTTGTTCTCTCGCTTTGTTACCTCCAAGGCACATCGAGATTCCTCCTATACTCTTTTCAAGTCTCCTTTTTCCATGATGAGTGAGACAGTGTTAATGTGGAGGCTGGATCTCCTCCAGTTTTATCCTGTCCCTTGTGCTGTGAGATAATTTGTCCTGTAGGAATAGGAACAGTGAGATAGTGTATCATTCCTGTAAAGGTATGTGGGGCAGCTGTGCATGCTCAGAGAAAAGATAGAAAGAATGATTCCCCATTTAGATCCATCTTTCACAACTTCATTACATCCCAGAATACTTTACATCCAAGGAGGAGTTTTGAACTTGCTGTTGTAAGATAGGAAACATAATAGTTAATTTACAGCAAGCTCCCACAAATAATAATGGAATGAATAACCAGATCATCAGTTTAAGGAGTTGACCCAGTGATAGATGTTGTTCATGATTCTACAAATTAGAACCCTAGAATATATTTCATTCACTCAATGGTGGTTTGTGTTGCTTCAGGTTTTGAGGCTTAGGGTTCTATTCTAAACATCGGAGAAATGGCTATCCTTGTCTCTTCTGGTAGTGTATGACCGATAATGGTTTTCCCTTCTCTCAGACTGATTGCTGTCTGACTTTGCTAAGTTTTTGAAAACTCACTTTTTTGCATTATTCTATTAATACTGTTCTTTGTAAGCCCATTTCTCAATAATAAAGTAAACCAACCCTTCACAGCGCCAGGGACCCGGGTTCAATTCCACCCTTGGGCGGCTGTCTGTGTGGAGTTTGCACATTCTCCCTGTGTCTGCGTGGGTTTCCTTCAGGTGCTCCGGTTTCCTCCCACAGTCCAAAGGTGTGCAGGTTAGGTGGATTGGCCATGCTAAATTGCCCATAGTGCTCAGAGACGTGTAGATTAGGTGGGTTATAGGGGGATGGGTCTGGGGGTGGGATGCTCCAAGGGTTGGTGTGGACTTGTTGGGCCGAAGGGCCTGTTTCCACACTGTAGGGATTCTAATTCTAATTCTAATTCTTCACAGTCTCTTGGACCTGACTGCTGATGTCGCTATTACATCATGATATAGATCACCACCTCATTATCATACAGACAAAGCCACAATTTAACAATCATCTCAAGGTGGCTCCTCTGACACAGCAACAGCTCTTTAGCGTTATTATGGGGTATGATCAACGATTATGAGCTACAAAGTTCTGAAGTGGAACCTAGATCCACAATCTTCAGACGCAGAAGCAAGAAAGCTACCACTGTGCCACAGATAGCACATGGATCCAAAGTGATAAAGAGCCAGCAGAAAAGGCAACAGGTTTCTTATTGTTGTCAGCTTGACTGAGGGGCCTACAACAGCTGAGTACTTGATTGGACTGAGAAGGAAAGTTGGTATAGGATTTCTTTATGATTGGGGATGTAAGAGGTTCAAGAAAGGGAAATGTTTGGACAGCATAGTTCAGAATGAGGTGCTACATATAAAAGCAGTCATAAAGAGTTTGCTCCAAGCAAAACAAAATACATAGAAGGGCATTGCTATGCCCTTTGTTGTTTAGGTAAAGTTACTGAGTTCCTTCTGGCACCACATGCACATTCTGGACCACTGCTTCTGGTGTTGGCATTCTCAACTTCTGTTATGTCACTTTTCTGACATTAATAGGGGACAGGAACTTTTCCAGCTCCATCCAGAACTTAGCCCCATATCAGTGAAACTGGGAGCTCTCACAGGAGATACTCAGCATAGAAAGTTTCAAGAAGTGTGCCAAATACTTTTCAAATTAAATGAGTACATCACTTTGGCTGGTGAAAGCTTTCTTTACATAAGTATTGAGCCTGCTGAAAAATCCCACCGTCCAAAAGTAGCAAGCAGACAAATCAACCATTACCAACCTGGAGGCAGCTCGCCCATGAGATCTAAGTGAGGTGCAGCCATCAAAATCATTCTGGCCTGCAGTGACTGAAAACAGGCCTGTACCCACCTCGGGCTGTCAAATTTTCCTCACACGTGAAAATTATCCTCCCTGTATTCATGTCCTAGTAGCATTTGCTATTGAGAAGTCTGAGCAACATCTTCATTAACCAATGATGATTTTTTTTTTGCATTTTTGTGTATTCTAGTTGACAGCGGTTAAGACAAGATGACCCAATGAGTTTAGTTTTGCAATATAACGACAACAGCATAAAAACACATAAACCTCCAAGTTTAAGAAAAGAGCTTTCAATGTGCAGATTGTGAGATCCAGACAGGAAGCAACAGCAAGGGAACAAGATTGTCAAATCTGAAGGAATGCCTTTGAACAAAGGACGTGGCCTGTCCCCCACTTATAGCAGCAGCCAATCTATTTGGCCTGAAAGGTTTCGGGTTGCTTCTGAATGCAGCTGCTGTTCATTGCGTTAGGCACATGCAAGGCCTGCCCTCAGGAACCTACAGCCTTTTGTTATGCAGATACAGCAGGCAGCACAGTCTTCGCTTTTTTTTTCAGACAGGAGGAAAGAGAGAGAGAGAAGGGGAAGAGACGTGGTACTCAGCTGACCAACCCCGCTCCAACGTCACATGCTAAATCAGACAAAACAAGGGAACAGCTTGGATGCTGAATGCACTCCGCCGCTGCTTTTGTGTTCTCAAGAACCTAGCTGCCTGTTTCTGAGAGCAGGTGCTCAGTTAAAACTGCTAACCCCGGACAGCACAGCAAATGGCTCTTTGTGTTGCAAGCCTGTTGGTGATTACCTGGTAAAGCAGGTCCTCTTTGATGACAAACTCGTTTTATTTCTTTTTTTTTAACAGTAACTGCCGTCACATCGGCATTGCATCTGGCTGAACAGACTCGAAAGAGAGATAGAGGGAGACAGAGTGGGACACTCCAAGCCGCGGAAGGAAAACTGTCTTTGTGCCGGCAGTTCCAGCGGAACGGAGAGGTGGAACGGTTCAGAAGCTGGACAGCTCCCTGGTGCTCAGCTGCTGGAGAGCGCTCCCTGTGTGTATGTGTTTGCGTCTATGTTTGTGTCTGAGCTAAAGAGCTCCACACAACGCTCTGGTCCATCCTCACTGCATCTCCCTCCAGAAGACCAGCTCCTAGATCATGTCCAGTGTACAGCAAGGGGAAAAGCAGCTCTTCGAAAAGTTCTGGAAGGGGACCTTCAAGGCGGTAGCCACCCCCCGCCCAGAGAGCGTCATTGTGGCCAGCATCACAGCCCGGAAGACTCTGAGCAAGTAAGCGTGCATTTTTTATTCCTCTCTTTTCTGAGAAGAAAGGTCAGAATGTCGCAGGCCACGAGAGCATTGGCAGGCTGTTGTAGATTTAATTGACCATCTGCTATGGTAAGGACCAGCCCATGTATTGAAACTGCTCATTCTCGTTAGCTACTGGAAACGCCTGTTGTTATCTTCATAAATCCGGATCCCCTGTCTATTGTACTGTTTGTGGGAAGCTCAGACTGGAGAAGCAATGACACTCAGGGGGTGTTGATGAAAAATGTTAGCAAAGAGACAGTGGTCGATCTCATCCTGATAGATAAAAACGAAGGATTAAAAGAAAAAAGGTATCACACTCAGGGGATGATAGTTTTAGGAGAATAAAGTTCATTATTGATTCTTCTCAGACTTGTTACATTTTTAATCTGTAAAAGCTGTATTAGCCCTGAGGTCTTTGGGTTAAGTAACAGCCTTTTTAATAGCCACATGGGTCAGATTGTGTACTCTAGAAGCTGGAGTTCAACATTATTTAGATGAAATCACATTAAAGGAAGTCTGGCAAGAACATATGGCAAGTATTATTAACTGGATTTCATCAAAAAGGTTTGAGAGTTGAACATCTTGCTGAATGGCAAAAAAATAAGAAACTACATTTCAACTAGTTATATATTCATGCCTGCTTTCGTGTTGCAATTGAGACCAATTAGACAGTAAAAAGGTGGTACTCTATATGAGCTGGGATTCATCGGGGTGTTTCAACTACTGTATCATACCAGGCTAACCAGCTGTGATGTACCAAGCTGTTTACAACGTGTCTCCAGTGACAACAACATATAGCCATTCATTTCAAATCAAACAACACAGTATGGAGTAACAGCAGACACAGTCAAGTGCACTTTTTTTTAACAAAATGGGAAAGGCATAAAAAAACGCATGAGCGAGAGGGAACAAAATTTGCCTCCACTGTCATTTCAGTTTGGATCGCATTATTAGCTGAGTCTGAGTTATGAGACAGCTCCAATTCCTGGCTGGTTTGATTCTCTTCCACTACTCTACAACCAGGGTAAGAGGAAAAGCTCACTGTGAAATATCTGCTGTTGAAAGTAATACTACAAAACACATTCACTTTGTGTATTGTTTGGACTGAATTATAGGGAAGGTTCAGAACATAAAACAGAGACTTTCATGATTCAGTTTGAGATAACCAATAAGAAGTACTCATTAGAGAAATGATTACAGTGAGAAATGGGTCTGTGTTGATATTCTGAGAAATGTTAAAGTTCATTCAGAAATCTTTAAGAGTTATCTGGCTCAGCGTATCTCCGGATTAACATTTCTGATTGATAAATGTATTGACCAACAAGTAGAATATTTCTCATGACACATTCATTATTATTATTTGAAATCTCAGAGCAATTAAAACAGGGGAAATGCTAAATCAATATTAATAAGGATGCATGCAGTGAATGCTGTATGTTGATCTTTCTTTTGTAGCACTGTACAATCAATACATTAGTTTGTGTGTATGTGTGTCGCACTCATGTTTGTTGTGTTGCTATGTCACTGGAAGTTCATTTGAATCTGCCTGCAGACTCCCTGCAGCATTCAGTTTGGCAATTAGTGCTGGCTCTCCGACCCCCCACTTATATCTCTGACTTAACAGTGACACTGTATTCAGTAGTGCTACAGCTGTCGGGTCTCTTCTGCCATTGTATCCACAAGCTGTTTCCTACCAGCCTGGGTTCATTAAAAATTCAGCTTATTTTGTGAGAGAAGGCTTGGGCACACAGCAGATGGTTTGCAGACTGATGCTAAGCCTGGCTTTTCTCCTCATCCTCAACAGATGCTGGGCAACTTTGATTTGCAGGGAAACTGAACAGTTTAGAGGAAAGTTTCAAACAAATCTTTTTTTCTAATGAGAGGGGGACTGCAATGGAGCTTACGTAGTGGGGAGCGGACCAGGGTTGACACTATAGATTTATAGAACTAAAATGGAAAGGAATTACCAGTCGCTTTCCTATCACTGGAACACAATGTTCTCACGCATGTATTATACTCTAGATAATTGATGAATTTTAAAATCATGCTTTTTGTCGAAATCTGCACATTTATTATTTTCTGTCCGGCTGCCAAGTTCGTAATATTTGGCACTTTGCTGAGGCATCCGTGAACAGCAGTTATTAGTAACACCCTCATCCCTGCTATGCAGTGACTAAGAAGTGACAGGATGAACTGTTTTTGTGGAACACTGTGTATGTGTATCTCTTTGATATAAAGACAAACGGAACAATGCTCAGAAGCTGCTTCCCATTTCTGGGCTAAATGTTGAGTTGATGCCACAATCTAAGAGCTGAATTAGGGTAAGAGGGATTGTATACGTTGGCTTTGCTCTTGAACGTTTTCAGCTGCAGACTTCACTTTGGAGTGTGAACGGTGCCTGCCAGCTCTATAAGAAAAAAAAAATGTCATTGTGGCCAACAGATTTCTTTTTTGCACATTCTCTGCTGGGTTCAGGCTGAGGGTGACACCATGCCCTGTGAGTAATGAGGTTGTGCCAATTGGCATGGGATGGTGACCTGATATCATTTGTGCAGTTTGCCCATCTTGCATATCTCCATAGCCAAACTCAGAAACTGATTTATATAACACAATACAATACAGCACAGGAACAGGCCAAGCATGCACTGATTCCTGATCCTCATTTAGAACCATTACTTATTGCCCAAGTGCAGTATCTGTCCCCCTGTTCACCTCCTGTGCACGTGTCTATCAAGATGTGTCTCAAACGTTGTTAATGCCTGCTTCCACCACTTCCACGAGCAGTTCATTCCACATACTAACCACTCCCTGGGTAAAAAAAATTGCCCCTCAAGTCCTTTTTAAATCTTTCTCCTCTCACCTTAAAAATATGACCTCTAGTTTTGAATTCTCCCACCTTAGGGAAGAGATCTTTGCTATTCACTTTATCTATGTCCCTCCTGATTTTATAAATCTCTATAAGGTCACCCCTCAACCTCCTATGCTCCAGTGAAAAGAATCCCAGCCTATTATTATAACTCAAACCTTCTTCACTGTCAATTTTTTATACCACCAAATCTTTTATATAAATGACAAACAAAAGTGGACTCAATACCGATCCCTGTGGAACACTGCTCGTCACAAGCATCCAGTCCGAAAAATAGCCCCCCACCATCACCCTCTGTCTCCTACTGTAAAACCAATTTTGTATCCAATTGGCATGTTCACCCTGAATCCAATGTAATCTAACTTTACTAATAAGTCTATCATGTAGAACGTCACCAAAGGCTTCACTAAAGTCCAAGTAAACAACATCTACAGCTTTGCCCTTATCAATCTTTTTGGTTACTTTCTCAAAAAACTTAAACAAGTTTGTGAGACATGATTTTCCTCACACAAAGCCATGTTGACTATCCCTAATCATTCCTAGCCTCTCCAAATGCATGTAAATCCTATCTTTCAGAATCACAACTTACCCACCATATTTAACAGTCTACTTGTGGCATTAATCATGACTCACAAAGAATTTCTTCATGTCACCTACTTTGGTAGAAGGCAATCTTATATTTCCTCAATATGTATGGACTGTAATGCTCGTGTGTTCAAATACTGGAGAAACATCTGCCTAACTACAGCATCAAAAAACATGGAGATACATAAGCCAGTTTCTTAGGGTGTGAAATTTTTAGTATTCCATTAACTGTTTTGCTTCCACTGGTAACATAAGAAAGTACATGATTAATATAGGGCAACAATGAGAAGAGATCAAGATTACATTGATTGGCATTATCATAACCTAGCTATGGGTATGCCACAAATGAACTATTTATCATATCACATAGAGTCATAGAGTCATACAGCACGGAAACAGACCCTTTGGTCCAACTAGTCCATGCCAACCATAATCCCAAACTAAACTAGTCCCATCTGCCTGCATTTGACCCATATCCCTCCAAACATTTCTTATTTATCTTTGGAGAGAAGCAGAGTTAACATTTCAAGTCCAGCATGACTTTTGCAGATCATGGAACTGTTTCTTTCAGATACATAATCACTGTCATGTCTTCTAGCTTCCAGAGTTCAAATTAAACACATTATTTTAGAGCCAAGATGCTGGAGCTTCATCACGTGTAGCAGTTCTCCATGTGGCTGGTGGTCTGTTACATTGTTACTCAGCATTTGACTGTTCTGTAGCAACAAAAGTCTCACCCTGAATGTATATTTGCATACTGACTGCTTCCAATTTCTTTATGCATGATACAACAATGGAATGCCACTCACTCCCAAATTTTGAATAACAACAGGCAGGACATCTACTCTCAGGGTCCTTGCTCCTGAGGAATGTCGCCATTGCCTGGTGAAGTTGTTTTGCTGGACCCTCCCAAAATATGCAGTTGAAGGGTGAGACTCCCTTTGCCTCCACTAAATATTGCCCAGGACTTTCCTTTAATTGATTCATGGATGTGAATATTGCAAGCATTTGCTGCCCTTCTGTAACTGCCCTTGAACTGAGTTGCTTGCTATGTCATTTTAGGTTAATTAAGAGTCGACCACATAACTGTGGTTTGGAATTACTTGTAAGTTAGACCACGTAAAGATGGTAAAATACCTTCCCATCAATGATTCAGATTCAGAGTTTCAAAGCAAAGTACATGACAAGTGCAGCAATGAAACAGGCCATTTGTCCAACACATTCTGCATTGGCCTTTACCATCTACATGAGCAAGTGACTCTGATTTGCCACATTTGATCTCGAATGTTGACCTTTGCAAACCAGATTTTTTATGATTACATGGTTGTCATTAGGCTAGCCTTTTCTTATTTCAGACTTCTGTTGAATTCTACTTTCACCATCTGCCATGGTGGGATTTGAACCCACATGCCCAGAACAACGGCCGATGTTTGTGGATTACCATTCCAGTGACGTTTGCATTATGCCACCGCCTCACCATGTTCCAATCCTTCTAAGTGAGATCAATCAGTAACTTACTTGTTGCACA